TATTACATTAGTACACAGTTTGGGAATTTATTTCTTAAAAAATAATACCGTCCAAATGTAGTACTTATGACGGCTCGGTAGGTGGACTCAGTGATGGCTGCCATTTCATGACGGATATTTTCTTTCAATTGCGCCAGAGAAGTCGGCTTATTGAAGTAGACTTTAGATTTAAAACCCCATAAACAAAAATCCATAGAGGTTAAATCAGGACTGCGTGGAGGCCAATTTATGTCACCTCTCCTGGAGATCAATTTGCCTGAGAAAACGAACTCGTGGCAGAGACGTCTAGAACGTGTATGACGTTGCTCCGTCCTGCTGGACGTTCTTTGGCCATCTGGCCAGGAAGTTTTTGAAGTTCAAGAAGTCGTCTAACATTTTCACATAACGCACTGAAACTAAATGTAAACTCTCTTTTGAGACACCTGTTATTTCATTAATATTACATTATACGAGATACTTATTGACATAAGAAAATGAGGGAATCATAGCAATCATTAATTTGTACATCTTTAAGCAACAGTTGCGTCGAAGATTCGTGATTGTGTTCTATTTCAGTAACTGGCGATGGTGTATAATGTTATTTTGTGTGTTTCTGTGTATGTATTATGTTAGTAATATATCTTATATCTATGTGTAGGCGTAGCCACGTAATCAGCCCGTGGCTTGTGGCGAAAGTAAATTTGTTTCGATATCATGTATTTCTAGAGATGATGAGGCACGAGTTGTTTTCGGCATCAGAGAGTCAGGAAGTGACTCCATGGAAATATTGCCATCGTTCGTATGTTTATATGGAGTAGTTTTCTTCGCGTCAAACGGCGCCGTTTAGTTGAAAGGCTAGGGTGTTAATTGAACGGCTAATGCAACATGTATAATGTATATGGTTAAATGCACTAAGTGAGGATGCGCAATATTCATATTTTCGTAAAAGTACAAGGAATATGTAATAACTAAAAACTCCGTTTTCCCTTACAAACAAATTGAGTTATAATAAGTCGATAGATTTAAAACCATTGGAAATTCTTTCACAACTAACCCGACAGTAAAAAACGGCAACGTCACCCATAGGCGTCCTGGTTCGATGATATTAATATTATCTACGACCGGGAAACAAATATTGCTAAGTTCACTTGTGTTTTGATCATAAAATCAGTTTTTTTTTCATTTATGTGTATTAGGGTTTCACGTCGGAAAGCAAACGATATTATATAAGAAGTTTTAATATTTACAAACAAGGAGCGCCGTTCAATAAATAAATAATAATCTTTATTTCTACTCTCACATATACATACAAGGTTATTATGATTAAACTAAGATGATAACATTTGGAAATGTATGTGAGAGACTGGTCTCTGTAACAGGAGACCTGAGTGACAGATAGCCCGCCTTTCAATGGAATCTCGCTGTTGGCCTTAAGGGCCTTTACAGCTCAGCTCGGGCTGTTTTGGCGAGCGAAGCTCGGCTAGGGATGCTAGATGATCATCGATGTTGAAAGCATGTTTTCAATAAATATCGAACATCGATGTTGGGCTTTCGATGATGATATTTATTGAAAACGATGATGATCGATGTTATTCTAACACCGATCATCCCTATTCCCTAAGCTCGGCCTGAATGGGCGCCGTTTATCCCACGACTAGCGCAAGGCGTCTCCCAGTGTTCCCAACTCTACCACCTTTTAGGTAGATCTACCAACTTTTAGGATTTTTCTCAAATCTAGACCTTATAAAGAAAATCCACCAACTTTTTGTTTATACATTTTTTTAATTTTTATATTGTTTAATTTTCTTTTATGCACACAATAAGTTAAAATCAGCGCGCTTTTGCGTTCTTTACAGTTGAAATATATCGAATATACATTAGCCAATAAGAAACCTCGGCTTATTTATTGCGAGTTTTGACTAATGACTAACTTCAAGACTCTCATGAACTTACTATGTATTTTGATTTGTAAAGCGCAGCCTTGAATGTTATTAAATAAAGTATTTTAGTACTATTGGTCTATCTAAACATTAAAAAATAAAATGATTAGTAATGAAAGTGAAAATGAAGAAAATTCTCCTCCACGAAAATTGAGGAAAATTCATTATGATCAAAAATATTCAAAATTCTGGGAAAAAGAACCAGAATATGCAGGTTGGATTAAGCATTTCAGTTTCCGGCCCTCATTGTCAAGTAAATTATGTTAGATTGATCTCTTCAATCCATAATATGCTTTGATTTTTTTATGATTATTGTCCATTTTTTAGTTAATATTAATTTTTTTACTGTAATAGATGAAGTGATAACTTTTTTATGAAAAAAAAAATGAATTAAAGGCATCACATCTTAGGGTAGGATTTTATATAAAACTCGAAATTATAGTTGGTAGATATACCTACTTTTCGAATTGAAGATGGTTGGAAACTACCAACTTTAGAAATTGTATCTGCCTACTCGATAAAAATTAAAGTTCGAGTTGGTAAGGTAACAGTGGCATCTCCACTAAAGGTCCTCGCCTTCCCCGGTGAACTGTGAAGGCGGCTTTTTACCCTAATCAGTTTTTGGCTATTTTATTTTTATTGGCAGCGCGGGCGGCTTTTAATTTGTCGAATATATAGGCAGAATGTTCAATCGGATGTCATGCTTTCTAGAGAACTCTAGAGAAGATTTCAGCTCATCACAATACTAACGCCATTTATTGCCACAAAGTTGAATCTAAAATTTGCAATATCTCAGTGATATAATTCGTTATTTATGTATTTATTAGTAATCTTACAGCTATTATCCATATTATAAAATAAAACTCTTAGACAATATACAAAGCCAAAACAGATTACATTGATAAACAAGATATATGAAACAGAAAACATAGTAATATGTACATTTGACAAAAATGAAAAAAATTAAAGAAAACTGAATTAACATGAAGCAAAAGGCAATTTATACTTAGTACATTTCAAGGAAAAACGAAAGAGAAAGCGTTAATCAATTCGGTTATTGAATCTGACATTTTAGAAAAGTGCCCTCTGTGTTTTAGTTGTTTTACTAAGTTGTTCTACAGTCCAATGGTCCTTACTGAACTTCAAGTTTAAAAAAATTGGATTTATTTATTTTTATCAGTATGTAGTTATTTCAGTTTTTGATTCCTTTGAAAATGCTTGTGGTAAATCTCTTGATATAATTAATGATATAATTGCTGTTACAAGGTTTTGTTTAGGCTTTTGTGATGGAGAAGTAGTATTGGATGTAACTTGCTCAGATTAAGTTTGTACCCAGACCGAAATGAAATATTGTTCCGTCTAAATCAGGGTTCTCCAAACTACGGCCCGAGGGCCACATCTGGCCCACGGACAGATTTTGTCCGGCCCGCGGAGAGCTAGCATACTTGAAAAAAAAAATCCTTTTAGAAAACATATTTTTTATAGCAAATTAAATTTAGTTTACTGAAGTATTCTAATTTTATGTTTAATAATTATTAATATGACATCTACATTGATATGGTCATGGGCTAACTACTCATAACATTGTTGTAGGCTTATTGTTATTGTGTGTGTGTTAACTTATAACAAGCATAATTACATATGGTTTTGGCCCTCGGAACTTACTGTAGTAATCAGTATGGCCCTAAGGCTGGAAAGTTTGGAGACCCCTGGTCTAAATAAAGGATACCATTAGCGCCTAAATAAATATTGTGCCCTTACATGACACCTAATCAAAACGCTTTTATTATGATTTAAATTATAAAAGACATTTGGCGTATTGCATATGTTTACTGTAGTTACCTAGCAGGCATAGACGAAGACACATCGTGGTAAATTTTGTTTTCAATAGATTTTCTGGTTTAATCAAGGTTTCTTCTGCAGGAAGACTCTGGTGGACCCCTCATTACGTCACTAACGTATACAAGTTGGCATCGTATCCTGGGATGTTTCTTGTGCTAAGGGGAAACCTGATGTTTTTACAAGGGTGAAATACAAAATTACGTTTAAAGCACTTTATTGTTATATTTTTCTTCAAACCCTAAGTGGGCGTTGGTGTTAGTTCGCATCCGTTTCTTTAAAAATTCTATTTCTTATGTAAAAGTCATACTTCTGCGACTGAGTTATGCCGTCGATTGCCACGATATACCAGTCCTTTTGACTATTAGTTATCTCTTAACTAGGGTTGCCTGGAAGAGATCGCTTATTAGCGATAAGGCCGCCCGTTGCATCCCTTATAATTTTTATGTATTGTGTTTCTTATATTATTAGCAACGAAGTGTAAATAAATAAATAAATATTACCTTCATCGTCCGAGCAGGTATTCATTGCGCACATATTAAGAAAAAAAATTTGGTGGCGGGATTTGAACGTACGACCTCAGAGTTAATAGTCGCGCGCAAAACGCATTGAGGAATCTTTTTCAAACTAAATATTGAGTTTAATAAAATAAAAGATATTTATTCAAAATATTTTATTTCCTTAATACTATTTAACTTATTAATCTACATACACTGGGGAACGTTGCGTATTTCTTTGAAGTAGCATACAAATTCAATCCAGAATCTAATGGAACTCCTAATTAAGTGCCTCTTTTAATGAGTCAAAATATGTAATTACGGTCTAACTTATATCTAGCTGTAGATTATATGTTTTACTACGATATTTAATGCCTGACAACTAAAGACGAAACTTTGGAACCTACGGTAAACTTATTAAACCATTAATGTTTCTTGAAAATATGCTTCATTCTTTGAATTCTAAGAAACTTTCTATTGAGTTTACGCAAGAGAAGTCACGAAACCCAAATTAATACATAAAATATCCTTTTGAAAGTTTACTAGGCTTCCCTGAACTTTCACATTCTAAAAGAAATGTTCTCTATTCATATTGTTTCAGTAATATTTTTTCCATTTTACCAACCTGATTTTACTGACTCGTGACTTGGCAATTGGCAGATGTAACGACGATCAGTATTTCAACTGCGCGTTAGTGGGTTTATACAATATGGGGTTTTACTTATTCGACATAACAATACCTATCCTAGTTCCGAGGTCGCGTACGCCCTTGGGGATCTTGGTACTCTTGACTCGGTCGGTGGGATTTGTGCGGCACTTGCTGAAAAAAGAAGTTCAAAACTTGTACTTGTTATTTATGGAATTAGATTACTGTGTTTATTGCTAATTCTGCTTCTTTATTTCTGGTTTTTGTGATGATAGTATATTCGACAAATAATATATGGAAGACAACTACAACCCTATTATATTAAAATATATATACAAGAAAATGGTACCAAGTCAGCAATATATATAATGTTTATTTATTTATTAAAAAGGTTTGCCAACAGCCATTACTATTACATAACAAAAGATATAACTTCTTTAAAGACGTAATCTTGCCCGATCATCTCCTTGACAATGAAAGGCTCTTGAAGACTTTGTAGTCTATCGATCGCATTGAAGCCTTTTACATGTAGCCTTGATGCGCCCTAATTCCGATAATGGACGGGACGCTGATATTGATTTTGCCTCGTAATATATGTATTACCTTTGAAACTGAGAACAAACTGAGGAATAGATGCTCTTGGGGCCATGTTCAAACCTTTTGTAATATTAAAATTAATAATTCGTGACTTATAAAATTTGAAATGAAGTCACTGTACAATCGGAGAACTCTAGCCGGTATTACGATCTTAATTCTTATACAAATTGTTAAATGGTCAAATACAGAACAGTAACCTCTTACAGCATCAACATTGTCGTCCCTTATTCATTCCCTGGGTTTAAAATCAGCAGAATTTTCCTAAATCCGTCTGCAAAAACCAACCTAGGTTCAGGCACCTCTCATTGGCATTCTTCACGATTATAACAGAATTAACACTACTTATCCAGAGCTATATATATGCGGTACTGAGCTTATCAATTTAGAAAGAGCATTGTTAAGTGCCTATTTGATTAGGCTAATACGCTGTTGCTAGTAAATTTAAATTATTGTATTTTTATTTTTTGTAACATGTAATAATGTTATATATTTTAGAGAAAGCTTGTAACATAATATACTGATATGTATGATATGGTTTATAATGAGGATATGAATTTAGGTACTCGTTGGAGAAGTTTTTCTTATTTATTTGGTACAGTAAAAATAGATTTCTTAAACATTGAACATATCAAAACAGCTAAGATATAAACTGTAGTTGTACAGTGTTTATACCATGAAACTAACCTGTCTTTCCTCCTGGACCTCTTCTGGTGGAGGAGGAGTGGTAGTGGGTACGTCACACTCCTCTGTAGGAGGAACCACGCATCTCAGCGAACGTCTATCGAAGACCAACATTGCAGGACACCTCTGCAGGCGAGGGTATCCCCCCTGGCACTGCCAGTACCTGTTGCAGGACTTGCCAAGAGGAACGTTGCCATTAGGGTCTTCGTTACAGAGGGCTGAAATGAGAGTATAATGTTAAAAATATTATTTACTCGGCTTATATATATTATGTCATGTGGAACATAGTGTAATGGTTGCAGCTTATAACAATTTTACAAAAATAAAATTTAGGTATTAAAATGTTCCGTTCTTCTCGCCCGTTCTTGTCCTTGATTTCAAATGTGGCAGTATTCGTTTAATTGTTTATTAGCTAAATGAATAAATTATATATGTCATAATAACAATATTATTATTTTAATTAATTTATGTTGACTTTTCTTTCCTCTTACTATAATTTATTTCACCAACGCAAATATTCATATCAATTTATATTATATTTCTACGAATCCCAGATGTCAGATTAATCATTGTTCTCAAAATGTAATTTGCTATTTCTCTCAGAATTAAATCAAAACGATACAATATTTAAGGAAATAAACATTATTTTCAAGAGATTTTATTTATACACGCTTAGATTAACACTGCTGTCAATATTATTGCAGCTAATAAACAACGTGAACTTTATATTAAAAAATATAAATATTGCAAAATATCAACTTGAAAATAATGACGTTATTATGGCATTTCAACAAGCTCTTATTATGGTAATAAAATTATAATGTGAAACAAAGAATGCAAAGTCAAAGAAAACTGTGACTTTTGCACTAATGCCAAAAGTAAACTCATAAAAGATATAAAGTGCACTAAACACCTAAGGTGTACTCTCACGAGTTTCTCTAACATTATTTTATTCATAGTAAGTGATTCTCAACGTCAACTTCTAAATAGATTTATTTTGACCAGATTCAATAAAACAAAAGCTCAACTGTCAGGTAATGTGAATAATTAATTTGCGATATTTGTTTTAAAATAAGTTTTGATTGATGATTTTCTATTTTAAAAGAGTACCGAGAGTTTTTTACGCCGGCTTTTTCTCTCGGCCTACACCCTCTGTCTCTTTGCAGATGGGTAGGGATGCCTGCAGTTTCAAATATTTTAATGACGTGGAATAAGTGATACCTGTATCTTATGTTCCATAATAAACATATTTTATTGAAGTGAAACTTCTTTATCGAGGTTGGAAAAAATTTAATGTAACATTTTTTCGTTACGCGTCACATTTTACGCTCCGGATTTTACGCGCCATTTTTTTTAATCGAAATGTCAGTTTTTAATGATAGTAATAATTCTATTATAATAATCTTCGTAGTAATAAGGTTAAATAAAATTTTTTTTTTCCCCCCTTTTTTTTTAAAAACCCTTTTTTTAACCTTTTCCTTTTTTCCCATTTCTCTTTTAAGGGGTTTAGTGGGGCAATTTTCCTTCAAAAAAAATAAAAAAAAATTTCCCCCCCCCCCCTCCCCCCCCCCCCCCCCCCCCCTTTTTTTTTTTTTTTTTTTTTAAAAATACATACAACGACGTTACTTAACTAGTTTCTGTATGCAGGTGAACGAACGCTAAACGTACGGACTATATATACCAATGTCAAATCTCTTTTATCTAATGCAAACTCAATTTAATTTAAATACATGCACACAAACCCTTTAAGGAATGTTGTTTCTAGAACATTTGTATGTAAATCCTAAGCTCTAGGGAGTTAAAAGCATTCTTTCATTTATTGAATGGAACTGGCTATTTTGTTTAGAAACTTTCTAACTTATTCTATTTATGTATTAAAGTTCACCGCAAGATACATAATCCTATATCTACAGTATATGTTACAAGCTATATTTTTACATGACAAATATTCAAATTACTACTAAAACAGCGGATTGGTTTTTATTTAATGGATCAGCCCATTACCGAATATGTCAATATAAGTAGAGAGGTGCCTGAACTCCTAGTTTGGTTTTTGCAGACTTTATCTTCAGAAACGGTACTTTGGATCTGTAGACCGTATATGATTCGTTTTAGCATCAAAGTTGATCATGAAAGAGCACCTTTATTTCTAAACTTAATTACGACTTAATTAAGACAAATTAATAACATACATGCAAAAGGTTTATCCACTTTATTTGAAAGGATTTCGTGAAGTTTTATGATTATTAGCAATACGCATTAGGAATTCCATTTCAGTAATGGAGTAATATTGTAAATGGGTCGTTGGCTTTTAGTTTAGTCATAGTTAATACTAGTTTTTTGGAGAAATTACTGAATTTTAGCTTACTTATATGTCATGAGGACATATATGTATCATATGATCTAACGACGGGTTTAACGAAAATATTCTTGTAAGCTCAACAAAGCCAAGTTATTCTACATTTTTGTTATTCTACAGTTCACAAGAGCTGCTTGTTATTTTATAAGCTGTAAGATCTAGGTATGTAGGTATTTTTAATGTATTAGCTTCAATGTTTATTAAACATATTTCATATTTACTATCAAGTATACGGTATTTACAATTTTCTTAACCTACAAAGTAGTAATAAAATAATTAAAAATAAAATCAAAACAAATTTGAAAAGTTTGTTCCCTGTGGCAGTGTACCTTTAACGCTGGCAGCATTTACTCCCATTTAATTTTTTCATTTTCCATTTTAATGAATTATAGTTGTAGAATTATCCGTGGTCATTATTGTGTAGTTCTATTGTATTAGTAGTTACTGTTAAGATAATAATTATGTGGGAAAAATAAATTAATATTTTATGAACGAATCTGCGCAAAAGCTTCTTGGTGGTGCCATTGCAACTTGATTTGTAATTTAAATTGAGATAATCGCAATCCTAAATGACGATCACAAAATGAGCAACGTACAATTTGATTTAATCAAGAAAGTTATATTAAATTTGTATTCATTATGGCCCTTTACGAAAATATAATTCATCAATTATGTATGTCGTCTTGGAGGCTTTATTGGGCGAATTACATTATTTCGTACGCTATGCCTTAACGTAGTTCATAAAACCAGCGGATTAAGGATTATATTTAAACGTTTGTATCAAAATATACTATAATACTTCTTATCTTAAATATAAATATAGTGCAAATACTATACACTCACAAGGGTGAGTATTTAACTTTGTCACTCACGTATAAGTTTTAGCTTAGTCAATATTTCCGGCAGCGACACGACTTTAACCAGTTAGTCCAGTAGTCATACATAAGTATGTCAAATCCAATACGTATTTGACATTTGGGAGTAGCGCTAAGTCTCGACACTGAATCTTACTTTTAAACTTTACTGAAGTCTTTTACGGTTAATAAAAGAATCTCGTATGTTCAATTCGTTTCGTATGCAGTTCCTTAGTTCACATGTGGAATAAGTAACGTGGAGTTTACCGCATTCGCCCTTCCAGACGCTTAAAGTGTGTCTTTGTCTGTTTCTTTACAGACTTCGTAGATCTTTTTTTCATAGATATAAAATTCCCCAGGGCGCGTTATTTGGTAATGTATATATTCATGTATGCGAGAGCTAGTATGATCGAGTATTGATCGGAAATAGAGCTTTCAAATGAAACACGTTCATTACACCTATACGGAAAGAAGGAAATGAACAGCTAGTTTTGCGTGTATTCGACTGAATATTGGTGATTTCATTAGAAATCTTCTACTATTGCCAGATAAATTTTACGCTCTTATTAAAAATGCGTAGAGAGTAAGAAATAAACGTGTATTTCTTTGTCTATGTCGACGTATAGAATCGTCCCTGGGCCCATTTTGAGGTGTTATGGGCCGGACTTAAAAATAAACAAATAAATGGTATTTTAAATATATTGTCTCTTTACTGAGACATCATGGAAAATTAAGACCAAGCCTAACTTAAGTTAGGCTAAACCTAATAAGTAGTTTAAGTTTAACCTTACTTACTAATAAGGATATTTTACATAAGAAAGTGTACAATAACACTACTTACACTATAAACTACTTACTCTGTTCTTGTGTTCTATTTTTTCACTTACCACTGTTTAGCCCCTTGACTAATATGTTCTAACAAATATTAAAAATAACAAAATAAGGAGAAAGAACTTTGAAGATATACTTAACAACTGTTCACATTATCTTCGGCCAAGAATCTTCGTCAACAAATTCTATATACGATACATAATTAATACAAACACACATCATAGTTTAACTTACGATGTTTTTGACATCCGTCTACATTCTCTGGCCAGTCGCAGGAGTGAGCGTTCTCGTTGTACAAGAGGCCACCAATACAGAGTTGCTCAGTCGCTGTTCCGTTCCAGCAAGTCCAGTATCTGGTGCAGGAGGTTTCGTGCCCAAATATGCCATATAGCCAATCACAATGCTCTACGCCGTTCGGTGGATCTAAAATGTATTTGAAGCTATTCAAAACCTTGCACTACAAATGCCAATCGAAAAGAGACTATAGGAACTTACTTATAAAATAAATTGTAAAATACTTTAGAGAAACAACAGATTTTTGTATAAAAACTTGACACGATAAAAAAAAGCAGACACGATACGTAAGTTACATGGAACGTCTATGCGTTGGAACTGTCATAAATATATTTACATTCATATGAATCTATCTTGAAATTAGTATTAAAAGTACCCGCAACACTGACAATAATGAAGGAAGAAAGGTAAATGAATAACGCGTGGGCCAATTAGAGTTTTCTTTTCAGAAAGATCTGATTACCTGATGATTTCGGCCAAGGTAATCATTTATGTATTTGTGGAATCTAATTTATTTTCAGATAATTCGAATTTATAATCAATCCTGTTTTTGAAGTTATACTTCTTTAGGCGCGTTATGAAAAATTTATGAGAGTGAAATTTTACAATGCGCGCGCACCCGTGACACAAAATTAGGAGTGTGATTATAGCGTGCGCGAGCGAGATAGGAATAAGACAATCTACAAGTAAAAAGAAATAGAATATGCGTGAAGTTCGTATGCCAAGAATTTTGAATGACCATAATGACATTTGTCATTTACCTTTTAAACAAATAAAGGAGTTTTAATTATTTTTTCAAAGAAATTTAGCAATGCTTTTTGAATTATATATAAAGAGTTGAATATTTAAACCAATACTAATTAATATTTGTGAAAAAACTGTGCTCATCAACCTTCCTAAGTGCTTCATTACAATTGAGGTTAACTATCAGTTTGTATTATTATTATCGAGTAATGTTTTGATTAAAAAAATTACCACATTGTTTAATCAAAACATGTAATTTTTCTCTAGAAAATATAAGGACAAGAGACAAAAAACAATTGATGAATCAGTGTAAGTGCACTAAATTGAATACAAAAAAAGAGTTGTCATCTTATCGCTGTGAAACATCAAAAACTGGAGGTGGAACAAAGCCAAACTATTTTTAATAATGCCAAAGAAGTATAACTTCTTACGCGCGTACATAAGTACACGCACCCTTTTTTTTTTCTATAACATTGTACATAAGAGTTACGTTTATTAAACGTTTTTAAAGAAATATTTTTTATGTCAGATGTTTAATCTTTTTTATTTCTGTCATATGGTCTATCGTACTATTGGCATAATCCAGCCTGTTTATTAAATGACGTAAAAAACGCTTCCGGCTGAATATCTTTCAGGCCGCTAGTTTAACGGGGCTATTTAGTTAAGAGGCTAGGCTGTTGATTGAAAGGCTGATTAAGCTAGTTGGCTGTGACATAAATATATATTTTTACTTACTTATTTGCACTTTAGGATATTCGCAGTAGTTAGACCTCCAGGGGTAGTCACATCCTTCAGTCACACCTCTGTGTTTCCCCGCAAAGACCAGCCCATTGGGGCAGTCGTACTGCACCGACTGACCACCATCACACTCCCAGTATTTGTCACAGTACTTATCGTCTGCAGCCACACGGGACTTGATCTTGCATGGGTCTTCTACTTGCGCGCAAGAGATGACCGCGAAACTTACGCAGAACGCTGAAAATATTGATACATTTTTGAGTTAGGTTACTTCGTGATGACATTATTAATTATAAGGGGAATAATTCAAGTCATGCAGGCTAACTTGATAATTTATTGAAATGTCTAAATCAAACAATGTATACTATTATCAAGAAAATACAGATTTAGGCATATGTGACACAAACTTAGGAACAACTGATACTTTAGGTTTTGTTACTATAATATATCTATTAATATAATACTAATAATATAATAAAAACCTAGCCATTGTAATTAATA